TTATGACGTGACGTGTCCGCGCACGCGCGATTTACGTTTCAGATGCCCGTTTTCGGCGACAGACGGTTGGTTGTTGGGTGGCAGGTACACCAAAAGCCTGCAAGGTCTCTGCAAAACGAATAAACTCAACACCCCCCTTCCCCTTCCCCTCCCGCAGCCCGAAGCCAAAAAATAGTTCCCAAAACCCAAACCCCAAACCCCAAACCCCAAACCCCAAACCCCAAACCCCAAACCCCAAACCCCAAACCCCAACCCCCAACCCCCAACCCCAAACCCCAACCCCAAACCCCAAACCCCAAACCCCAAACCCCAAACCCCAAACCCCAAACCCCAAACCCTAAACCCTAAACCCTAAACCCTAAGCCCTAACCCTAAACCCTAAGCCCTAAACCCTAAGCCCTAAACCCTAAACCCTAAACCCTCCATTGAAGGATTCTTCCTTTGATAGCCCAGGCTTGGCTATGGAACCAGCAGAGCGGAGCTTGAGACGCCTTCTACAGGCACAATTGGACTTCCAGGTTTTTAGGATTTTGGGGTTTAGGGTTTAGGGGTTTAGGGTTTCAGGGTTTAGCGGTTTAGGGTTGTCAAAAGGGTTCAGAGGAGGCGTGTAGGGTTTGGGGTTTAGGGTGTCTATCACCCAGCGTGGGCCCTTGTTGCCTTTTGGAGGGGGGATGTCTTGTAAGTTCGCTCAAGGACAAAGTTTTTGTAAGTTTTTGATCCCTGCCTTGCTTTGAGGGGGGGGGGAGGGGGGGGGGAGAGGGGGGGGGGGGGGGGGGGGAGGGGGGGGGGGGGGGGGAGGGGGGGGGGGGGAGGGGGGGGGGGGGGGGGTGGGGCCGCGTGGGAATGTCTTGGTTGCAGTTGGGGTGCGTGGCAAGTTTAAGCCTAGAAATCCTGTTTTTTCGCGCGCATTTTGCAGGTTGCGACAATGACAATCCTAAAAGCTTTAAACCGCAATACAGTTCAAAAAATCGAAAACTTCGAAATGTTCAAAAAGTTCCAAAAGTTTCAAAAGTTCTACAAGTTCCAAAAGATTCTCAAGTTTCGAAGGTCTAAACGTGTTAGAAGTTCCAACAGTTCTAAAAGTTCAACAAGCTCTATAAGGCAAGAAGTTCTAGAAGTCGAAGAAGTGTGATCGAAAAGTTCTAAGCATTCCAAAAAACTCTAAGAGTTCTAGAAGTCTAAAAGCTTTTAAACGTTCTAAGCATTCTAACAGTCCTAAGCGTTAGAAGTTCTAGCAAGTTCTGAAAACCTACCTTGGGCCTGCTTTTCAAAGCAATTTTCCCACTCCTTGGCTTGCTTCGGAAGACAGCACCGTCACAATGTCCCACTTGTCGCCCCGTAGTCCTGAACACAGTTCTGCCTGAGATGTGCTGCTGTGCCTTTGTCAAAGCTATGCTGTTAGCTGTCCTGAGCACGTCACGTCGCACAATGCGTGTTGCTTCGTTTCAAAACCTAACTCCGCCTCCCAGATTATATGTATCAGATAAGCATTGTAAACGCCAAAGACGCCCGAATTCCTTGAAGTATCCCAGCTGCTGCAGTAACCCAGCTGCTGCAGGGTTGATTCCTTGCTTTGTGCTACGTGTGCTTTTGGTGGCTGATAGTGCTTGTCTTCGCACAAAATTCAAAAAGTTCTCAAAGTTCTACAAGCTCCAAAATATATTTAAGCTCTGGACGTTTTGGAAAAGTTCCAGAAGATTTAAAGGTAGGTGAAGGACACCGAAAAGGCAGGAATTCACCCGACAATTCCCATGCACAGCAGAAGCAACCAAGGCAGTCCCACGCACCCCAAACGCAACTAGCGCACCTTGGGATCAAGCGTTAGAGAGTTGTGGGTTTAGGGGCTTTCGGGTTGAGGGGTTTAGGGGTGTAGAGTTGTAAGGTTGGCTTTTCAGGGGTAGTCGGAGTTTTGGGTTTTGGGGGGATTAGGAGTTTAAGCTACCAGAGCCCTTCTCCTGGGCATCCGAACATGGAGACTTTGGGAGGACGAGCCTCAGGCGGCACAGCAGCAGCAATTGCCCCTGGCTCGCGGAATCTCGGCCCCGGCACTCATTTATGTACTACCTGGGGCATTGTTTTGCGAGGGGATGGGGTGGGGGAAGGAGGGTTAGGTTTTGTATTGAAAACAGGTCTAGAGAAGAATATCCCGTGGCATGGACCTGTCGGTGTCATTTGACAATCCTTTTTGTTTCCAAATAAAACACTGGCACTTAGAAGATAAAGCTTCTAAGGTTCAGGGCTTAGGGTTTATAGGGCTGTGGATGTTCAGAATGTGAAGGTTTGGAAAGGATGTGCCGCCGCGATGTGTGTGGCTTAAGACGGCAAGGTGTGGAGCACCGATGCCACAGGTTGGCCGTGAAGGCCCAAAACCACGAAGCAACGCAGTATCGTAGCATGTAAAGCAAAAGCCTACGAAGCTGTCAAAGCACTGCTGTAAAGAGAAACCGTATACGTGCTTGTGTTGTTGGAAAAAGAATCGCGCCCGTGCAGTTTGTAAGCCATGGATCAGCGCCCCAGACACACAGAATCCTCATCCCTGGGCTCCGATGCTCAACAGGTGATGAGCCCAAGCGCTCAAGCTGGGCAAGCCACAGTGGGGCAGCCGCCAACCTCCGGAAGAAGAAGTTCCTTGCTGGAAGGAGAGGCAAATGGCCCCTCGTATGGTGCAACCGAAGCTCCAGTGACGAGCGGAGCTCTGCCAGTGGTTCAGTGGCCGCAGGCGAGTGATGAAGGCCGTGATGGCGCGTCATCGTTAGCGACTGGAATGGTGGAGCCTGCAGCTGGATCGGCGTTTTTGCTGGGCGAAGATCAAGTGGTTGCCAATGGTGGTTTGGAAGCTCCGCTACCTGTGTCTGTGCAAGAGCCGCCGTCGATGCAAGAGGCTGATGGTGGGTGGCGCCAAGGCGTGGAACAGGGCATGGTGGCCCAAGTTCAAGCTGGAGGTGGATCGCCAACTGTGGTTCGGTGGTTGACGCGTTTTACGGAAATGCTGAGAACTACAACGGTCCAGGGTAGGGTTTGGGGTGGTTTAGGGTTCACTCCAGCTCACCTTCAGCATCAGCAAGCACAGATGACATCACAGCACTACGCAGCAGCCGCGAGACAAAATGGTGCTCCACACATGCAGCCGGGAGAGTTTTCGCCCCCTGAAGAGCTGCAGATTCCGGACTCATGGAGGTTCTCACCACCACCTGTGCAGGAGCTGTCGGATGTGGCCCCTCAGTCGCCACTGTTTAGCCGGGGTGATCTTCAACGGTTGAGGGAAACCCAGCGTAGGGCACCTTTGATTTATGGCCCGATGAGAGGAGGTGGAAGTTCGATGAGCTCAACGGGAAGTTCGGAGATTCAGGCGGAGGTGCGTCGGCAAGTCCAGGAATTCATGGCGGGGCAGAGGGATGAGTTGAGAAGCTTGAGGGAGCAGTTGACGCAGGTGACAAGACAGAGGGACGAGCTAATGGTAGCACGAGATCAGGCTCCTCTACCTCAGCACGCTGGTGTTCCTCAAGGGTGTCCAAGCTCAGCTACCTCAGCACGCTGGTGTTCCTCAAGGGAGTGTCCAAGCTCATCTACCTCAGCACGCTGGTGTTCCTCAAGGGAGTGTCCAGGCTCATCTACCTCAGCACGCTGGTGTTCCTCAAGGGAGTGTCCAGGCTCATCTACCTCAGCACGCTGGTGTTCCTCAAGGGAGTGATCAGGCTTCTCTACCTCAGCACGGGGGTGTTCCTCAAGGGAGTGTTCAGGATCCTCTACCACAACCCGGTTCATGTGTTTACTCATGTCTGTTTACTGTTGTGAAAGATCACCGTACTTTGTTGCTTTTGGTTCAAGCCACACACCAAATCATGCAGCTTGCATTACATCGCTTGGTAGCTTCGCTTTTCGATCCCACCCGCCACTCCCATTATGAAGCTTCATTCCTTCATTTGGGACGGGTCTCGGGACCTTTGTACAGCCGGAGCTTGCTCATCTTGCACTCGTGTCACATTGTCCTTGCTTTCTGCTTTGGGACATGTTCCCTACTCTGAGCTCTCAGCCGGGTCAACCCAAAAGGGCCCCCGTCTTCTAAACGGCTGTGCTAGCTCATTTTGCAACCGTGTCGCAGTAGTGTTTGTTTTCTGCTTTGGAACTTGTCCCATACTCGCGTGCTGTCAGCCGATTCAATCCTGAGGCGCACCCGTCCTCTAAACGGCTGGAGCTAGCCTTGTTTCACGAGAATCCACGAGATCGCTTTTAGATCGCTTTTCCTGCCTTGCTTAAGGTCTCTTCTGTTTTGCTCCTGTGTTTTATCGTCATGGCGCGTTCAGATTCTCTGCGTTGGCACAATTCATCTGCTTGCAGGGTGGTAAGATCTGTTTGCCAGCTTTGCCAATAATTCGATTGCATGCTTTGTGCTTCGAACTCTGAGCTGCATTTCCGGCAAAGTCAAAAGGGAAGGAGCGAGAGCTTGTGGTAGGTGCTCACTTAGCCTGGACTTTCCCTAGGGCTTGGTAGTGGCTTTGGTAGTGTGGCTTGAACTAGCTGTGAACGCTGGTGTCTCTCAAGGGCATGGTCAGCCAGACCCTTCAAGAAGGACTCAGAATCCTCAAGGGGGAGTTCGGGAAGGAAGAGAAGATCAGCCATACCCTCAAGGGGCGCCACGTTCCTTTGGTCCGCAGGCGGCAGGAATGGATGCTAGCGGTGGCCAAGCGCGGGCTTCGTCATCCACCGGTCCGAGCCAGGGCGACATCCTGGGAGCCTTAGCGATAGGGATCAAGCAGCTTCAAGATGTTCAGCTGAAGCAGATGGAAAGGAAACCAGAAGGACCGGAGGTTGTGAAGCCAGGTACAACGACGTTGCCAACTCTGCCTTCGCCAGGAAAGGACACCAGTGCGATCGACATCCAGGACTGGTTGGAGGTGGTTGGAGCGGTGATGGGAGACCTCAGTGACTCGTCGGCAGTGGATGCAAACAAAGAAGGCTGCTGAGGAGTACTACCAGAAGTGGGTCACGGCATCGCCAATGGAGAAGCTGGCCCTGAAGCCAACGAGGTCTGCAGTCCTGGAGGAGGGACGCTGTGCTCGTGTGAATGCAAGGGCAGCGAGTATGGTTTTAGCGGCGCTCAATGAGGAAGTGAGAACCGAGATGGTCACCAGAAAGGCTACGTCCTCAACCATGCTGATGGTGTACCGGTTGCTGACTATGTACAGGCCTGGCGGAGAAGCAGAGAAAACCCTGTTGCTGAAGCAGCTGACTTCCCCAACTCCGGCATCTTCAGCGACTGAGGTGGTGGAAGAGCTGCGACGTTGGGGGCGTTGGTTCAGTAGGGCTCGGGACATTGATGTGGCCACGCCAGACCCAGTGCTTCTGACGAAGGGATTGGGGATGATTGTGGATGCTTTGCTGCAGAAACACCCTCAAGTCTCGTTCCGCACGTCTTTGATGCGAAGCACTTTGCAGCTGGACGCAGGGCCCACCTTGGAGCAAACCCTCAGCTTTCACGAGCACTTGCAGGCCGAGATGGAACTGTTGGCTACGTCATCGTCAAGCGGGTCGTCGGAGAAGCCGAATCCAAAGGCGAGGAGTGTGGCCACGACCTCGGAGGCGAACGTCCAGAACCCCAAGGGTGGCTCGAAGGGCAAACAGACGGCAGTGAAGGGGGCATGCAAATGGTTCGCAAAAAAGGACGAGGGATGCAACTGAGGTGAGTCATGCAAATGGGCTCATGATTGGGGCGAAACCCCAAAGAAAGGTCGATGTATGGTGTGTTCGGCGAAGGGCCACTTTGCCAAGGATTGTCCTACGAAGACTGGGGAGGCAAAGCCCAATGAGCAAAGGGAGAAGCCGAGCCCCAAGTCACCTTCCAAAGGAAAAGGAAAAGGACACACTGAGGAGCCGAGCGCAAAGTCCATGAGCCCTGAGCCGGAGCCGCAACCGACCTCGCCGTCTACCAAAAGTGAGTCTCAGGAAACAGGTCAAGATTTGAAGGAGATGTTGGGGGAGGCAACGAAGGCCATCAAGACGCTAATGGCAGCAAAGACTTCGTCAACGAGTACCTCCTCGAGCGGGACTTCGCAGGGTGCGGTGGAATCCTTACAGCGCCAGCTTGATGAGTTGAGACTGAAGGCTGTGAGGGTGTGCGCAGCGGAGCCGTGGGCCAACGGACCTGAAGAACAAGATGCACTGATAGACTCAGGTGCGACAAACATCCTCAGGCCGCCGCGGGATGAAAAGGAGCGGCAAGATGCTGTTCCGGTTTCTGTGGTGTTGGCGGGGGACACGAAAAAGGAGCTCGTGCAGAACGACGTGGGCACGATCATCGCGGGAAGTGACACGAGGACACAGACCATCATCCCTATGTGTGAATTGGTCAACCATGGATGGAAGGTGACGTGGACAGGAAAGAAGCTGGCCATTAAGCACCCGGAGTTCGGAAGGATGAGGACCGCATTGAGGGGAGGATGTCCTGAGGTCGCCAGGGAGGAAGTGCGAAGGATCATCGACCACATGTGTCGGGAACTGTACGTGGAGGTGAAGGCGTTGAAGGCCAGGATCGACGCAGTGAATGATAAGGAAGCAGAGCCGTGGACTACATCCTTGAGGAGATTGGTGGAGTTGAAGGACTGGGCCGCGTTGGCAAAGGCTATCGAAACGGCGCCGATGTTCAAGGACCTGCCTGGGAAGATCAAGGATAAGCTGTTCACGGAGCTAGAGTTCACTGAGGAAGCTGGCTGGAACTACATGAAGGACCTCCCGCTGACAAGACGTGAAAGAAGGAAGTTGCTGAGGTCCAAACGATGGGTTGTGAACTTGTTCTCCGGGAAGGGTGCCCCTGACGATCCGCTGGCGACGATTGGAGCGGGTGCAGATGATGATCGGGTACTTCTCAACGTCGACATTGAGCGGAGCAAGGCTTACGACCTCACGAAGGACGGCATCTTCAAGATCCTGATGGGCGGCGGTCACTGGAAGAATGGAAGATCTTCATGGAGGGCCACCGTGTCGAACGTTCTCTGTGATGAGGTGGAGGGAAGTTCCGGGTCGTGAAGGTCCTGTGCGTACGGGAGAAAGTCCATACGGGAGAGCGGAGCTCACTGAAACCCAAAGGGAACGTGTGGATGGAGACACGGAGTTGATTGCGAAGATGTTCTTACTGTACATGGTGAGCAAGTTCGCGCGACCTGGAAGGGCCACGGGGTTCTTAGTGGAGCACCCTAGAGACCCAAAAACTCTGTGGAATGATGGAAGAGACTACGCCAGCTTGTGGAGGACACAGTTGTGGTTGGAGTTCATGAAGGCCACGGGTTTGGACGTGTACTCGTTCGATCAAGGCGCCTTGGAACATCCTGCGCGGAAGCCAACAACGATTGGTACGAACTACGCCTTGGAGCACCTCAACGGTCTGGTCGACATCAGGGTGAAGTCGGAGAACGCGATGAAGATGGACCCAGCGAAGTTGGCAACGTGGTCAAGGGGCTTGAGAAGGGAGATTGCAAAGGCGATAGATGATCGGGCCGTGGTGAGTCCAAAGATCAAGGCAATGACCGCCAAGCAGCGCCTGGAGTGGAGAAGGCACCTCCAAGCGGACCACGTGCCGTTCAGGCGCGACTGCAGCATCTGTACGCAAAGTGCTGCGACTGGAAAGCCCCATAAGAGGACAGAGTATCCTCAAGCCTCGTTAGCTCTGGATATGGCCGGTCCTTTCAAGACGTTGGGGAGGGACCTGTACGAGAAGGACTACAAGTATCTCCTGGTGGGCCGCTGGCTGCGCAACATGCTGCAGCGAAAAAGTGGGAGAGGCGCATGAGACCGAATGAGCCAGAGATCCCTGCGTTTGGACAAGAGGTGTGGTACAAGACAAAAACGTATGCCGGCACTGGTGAAAAGAAGGCAGCCTCTGAAGGGGATATGCCTCCGAGGTGGAAAAGAGCATCGTATCGAGGACCCTCAGGCGACGTCACCGATGGGCACATCATGGCACGAGATGATGGTGGTTTGGTGGTGGCAAAGGGCGTGCGCGTGAACCTCATTGATCCAACGGAGCTGGAGCCGAGATTGCTTCCGGAGCTTCGCGGGAGTGAGGTGAAGTACAAACCGCCAACAAGGAGAGCGAAAGGAAAAACGCCAGGGGTGTTGGAGGAGGAATTGGAGCCTGAAGAGGGGCGAGAGAGGAACTTGTCCCCGCCTGAGCGATACGCAAAGGAGTGCTTGGAGAAAGAGAACATCACGCAGGAGACGTTGGAGATGCTGATGGCCCTTCTTCCACACGACGAACTATCAAGAGATGCCTTTTCTCCTCCAGACCCGGAGATGTGGGCCCCAAAGCAATGGGGAACCGGCGCCTACGTGCATGGAGGAGTCATGGGCTTGAAGAAAAACGTCAAGATGTTCAAGTACTCGACGAAGATGATGGCCTATTGGGTGAGGACTCGCCATCCGGCTCACCGGTTCACTTCCTTGGTGTTGTTCAGGAACCTCAGGACGCAACCTCATCGAGACTCCCACAACGACTTGTCGTCGGAAACGGTGGTCTTCCCGATATCCAAGTTCCAGAATGGAGAGGTGTGGGTGGAGGGAGAGCCAGAAAAAGAAGATGAAGTCAGTTGCATGGAAAAGATTGGCGACAAGTTGATCAAGGGCAAGCTTCTTCCAGTGGCAAATCGTCCTGTCACATTCAATCCGAGGAGCTGGCATTCAACGCAGCCGTGGACTGGCGACAGGGTGGTGCTGTCGGCATACTCCATCAGGGGGTCGGATTGCCTTACCTCAGAGGACAGTGATACGCTTCGTGAACTTGGTTTTGCCCTGCCGGGAGATGAACTCAAGTACTTGTCCTCGTCGGAGTCCTCGAGGCCAAGTTCGGGAGCAGCCAATACTGCGAGCTCTTCTTCCTCAAAGTCACCTGAAGTAAGGGTGTCAGCCATCAGGGCCGTCCACACGTTCGAGGAGCAAGATCAAGAAGAAGTGAAGCAGAGGAGAAAGGATGCCAGAGTGGCAAAGGCCTCCATAGAGAACATCTACACCGACAACGTGGAGGAGTTGTTGGAGAAGCTGATGACGGACCTCCAGGTGGTGCACACTGTGAGACAAAGCGAGGCAATGAAGGTGTTGATGAAATGGAAGCCGTCAATGAAGAAGGAGATCGACGCGTTGGAAGGTAAAGGCGCCATCCTGAGAATCACAAAGGAGGAAGCAGACAACCTCGAAGACGTGGAGTACGTGCACGGCAAGTGTGTGTGGACGGTGAAACCACCTGAACACCCTGAAGAAGAAAAAGGAAACCCCGATCGTGCAAAGTACAAAAGAAAGGTGAGGATAGTGGCTTGCGGCAACCAGGTCGAAGATGACACATTGTCTGTGCAGGACCTCTACAGCGCCGGGGCCACCGCTGACATCGTTCGAACAGTCATTGCCGAGGCTGGCTACAAGAGATGGGGCGCAGCGATTGACGATATCCGAGCAGCCTTCTTGACAGCACCTTTGCCAAAGGGGGCGCGACGCTACATTTTGAGGGTTCCGAAGGCGGTGATTGCAGCTGGTTTGGCCCAAGAAGGGGAATGCTGGTTGGTGCAAACAGCGCTGTACGGGTTCAGACAGAGTCCAAAGTGGTGGACCACCTTCAGGAACACGCGGGCCGCGGAGGCGAAGTTCAGCGCAGAGCACAAAGGGGTGGAAGTGCGAGCTACGCTAAAACCGTGCGTTACGGACCCGAACCTCTTCAAGATTGTGGCGGAGGTGCAAGGGAAGGAGGTCGTGATTGGGTATGTTGTGTTCTACGTGGACGATGTGCTGGCGGTTGGGGAGGATGAAACCATAAAAGGCTTCTTCAGTTGGCTACACAGCGAATAGGAGACGAGCGGCATGCAGTGGGTGACGAAGGAAGGGCAAGTCAGATTCCTGGGAATGGAAATTCGAAGAACCGAGGAGGGGTACTCGTTGTCCCAGGAGGGGTACGCCGCGGAGATCGTGAGGGCCCACGCCGCCGAGAACGAGTACAGCATCCTACCAGCAACAAAGGAATGGCTAACGATGGAGCATGAGATGCCGGAGATCCCCACCGACGCTGAAGGAAAGGCCTTGTTCGATGCCAATGTGAAGGATGCACAACAACGGTGTGGAGAACTACTCTGGTTATCGCAGAGAACGAGACCGGAGATAAGTTTTCCAGTGGCTATTGTTTCGTCGTGTACGACAAGGGATCCAGAGAGAGCAGTCAAGATTTCGAAGAAGCTGCTTGCCTACATCAACACGACAAGAAGCATGGGCCTGTTCACGGGAAAAAGTGTGCAAGATGATCCCCGGGATCTGTACGCGTTTACGGATGCATCGTTTGCCCCGGAAGGCCGGCGAAGTCATGGAGGGGCGATGGTGGTGTGGAGGAATACTGGCTGTGCTGGAAGTCATGGAGGCATAGCACAATAACGTTGAGCAGCGCGGAGGCTGAAGATATGCAAATATTCCCGCACCGGTGCGTGTTGATGATCGACAGCACAGCGGCGCTTGCGATCTTGGGTGGCGAGAACAATTCATGGAGAACGAGGCATTTGAAGTTGAAATGCGAATGGCTGCGGCAGAAGGTGAAGGACGAGGCTATTACGTTGGTTCATTGTCCGGGATTGGTGCAGTTGTCGGACATCCTCACGAAACAGGTCCCGAGCCAGAGGCTGAAGGACATTGGAGAAAAGTGGGGGCTGAGATGCAGATCGGGACCGAGGGTGAAAGCTATGAGGGTGCCTCCTACAAGTTCGCCTCATACAAGTTCGCCTGGAACGTCGCCTCGTGCAAGTTCGCCTGGAACGTCGCCTCCAACAAGTTCGCCTCCTACAAGTTCGCCCGGAACGTCGCCCCCTACAAGTTCGCCTGGAACGTCGCCCCCTACAAGTTCGCCTGGAACGTCGCCCTTGACATGTTCGCCGTCGCCTTCGTCAGGATCACCTGGGACGCCTCCATTGAGTCCGCCATCGTTTGTGTCAGAGTCGCCGACTACAAGTTCGCCTCATGCAAGTTCGCCTGGAACGTCAACTCCTACAAAGTTCGCCTCATACAAGTTCGCCTGGAACGTCAACTCCTACAAGTTCGCCTCATACAAGTTCGCCGGGAACGTCAACTCCTACAAGTTCGCCTCATACAAGTTCGCCGGGAACGTCAACTCCTACAAGTTCGCCTCCTACAAGTTCGCCTGGAACGTCGCCTCCTACAAGTTTGCCTGGAACGTCGCCGACTACGAGTTCGCCGTCGCCTTCTACAAGAGTCCGAAAGATGGTGGTGGAGCATGCCGTGTTCTACGTGGACGACGTTGTGGTGGCGTTGAGGCCAATGCGGTGGGCGGAAAAGGAGCATGTCTCGTCAGCAGCAAAAGCAGCGAAGCCGCAGCCACAAGCAACAACAAGGTGGGTTGGAGTGTTTAGGATAGTGGTTTTAGTGGTGGTTATGGTTAACTGCTGCGCTGGACGAGAGGAGCAGGACCGAGAGGAGGAGGACTGGCAAAACCCGATGAGGGTGGAATGGGAGCTGTATTTCCTGGGATTGGTCACGCTGATCGCAGTGTTGGCGGTTTGGGAGTGCCTTCGTGAATGTTTGAGGAGGGGAGCAAGAAAGCTTCCAAAACTTCGTGACCTTGCCCGACGACAACAAGACGGACCTTTGAGCAAAAAGGAATGTAAAGAGCTATCGGAGTTGGTGAGCCGCGGAAGCTGGCTGGAAGAGAAGGACCACGAGAAGTTGACCGAGCTGGTGGCACGGTTTACAAGGCACGATCAAGGAGCAAGTTGCGCTTCAAGGGGGCCGAGTCGTGCAGCAGGGCAGGCAAGGGAGCAAAGGAGAGGAGAAGATGTGGCAGCGGGGGCGAGATCTCTGCGTGAGGCGGCTGCATCGTCGTGGGAGCAGTCAATGGGCGTGCGACAAGAGAGAGCGGCGGAGTCTTCGCCGGGATATGAGACCGCTAGGTCAGTGGCCCGAATGGAGGTTGGGGTTCAAGCTGACTTGGCGATGGTGAGATTGGTGCAACAGGAGAGCCAATCATTCGCGTGCGAGAAGTATGTCCACGAGCCTTCTTCCTATGTGATGGTGGCCGGACAGTCCACACGAGATCAAGGAGTTCCGACGCAGTTCTGAGAGGTGGCCCGATCCTCTCGGAAGGACCAAGGAGGGGTGTGGATGTTCAGAATGTGAAGGTTTGGAAAGGATGTGCCGCCGCGATGTGTGTGGCTTAAGACGGCAAGGTGTGGAGCACCGATGCCACAGGTTGGCCGTGAAGGCCCAAAACCACGAAGCAACGCAGTATCGTAGCATGTAAAGCAAAAGCCTACGAAGCTGTCAAAGCACTGCTGTAAAGAGAAACCGTATACGTGCTTGTGTTGTTGGAAAAGAATCGCGCCCGTGCAGTTTGTAAGCCATGGATCAGCGCCCCAGACACACAGAATCCTCATCCCTGGGCTCCGATGCTCAACAAGGGCTTAAGTCTTCGGATCTATCGCAATGCAGCCCTTGATGCTGCAAGACGGCGAATCCTAGGTCGTCCCATCCCAGCTGGACTCCGCAACAAGGAACCCCCCCCTCCCGCAACACACCCCAAAGGAACCCAGCTTTTGGGCATCGTGAGGTCGGCTTCGGGTTTGGAATTTTATTATTATTATTATTATTATTACTATTATTGTTAGTAGTATTATTATTATTTCTAGTATTATTTTTAAAATTACTATTTTTTTGGTCCGGAGGAGGATCGACGATCATCTGACAAGGCGTTTTGTGGAGATGTCCTGTTCCAGATTATTGGAGTGATCAGTCTTCCCATCTTCTTGCCGGGGAATCCAAGGAATTGCCTCTGCTATGGCGTAGCTTGGCCTTTGAGAGGGACGAGGTTAGGCACACTTGGGAATTGACTCGACCCAGACTTGTTCCCAGTAGGGGTGCTTGGCAGCCTTGGGGGATGTTCAGCGTTTTGTTTCTTGGGAGGATCTTGTTTCGGAGTATGTTGAAGGGCGGAACTACTCTCTTTAGAGTACCGAAGGCTTTAGGACGTGAGGCCGCGCTCCTCATGTGGGCAGGCATGGCGATGTCCCAAGGAAACCTTAAAGGAGGACAGGTACACACCGACACCAGTACTTAGGGAAGACGGCAAGCCAGTCCACTCAGGAGGTTAGAGGATTCAATCTGGTCACAGATGGCCCGAATTGTGAAACCCCAAACCTAATCCCTAAACCCTACAATAAGCCCTAAGCCTTGTAAGCCGTAGGCCCTAACGCTAAGCCGCGTAAGCCCGAAGCCCTGTAAAAAACCCACAGGCAGCCCCTGAATGCCCCAGGTTCCTGCACGGCTTGGAGGAGCCCATCCTTCATGGGGAGCTGAAACCTGAGAATGTCCTGATCTTCGGCTCGGAGGCCAAGGTCAGCGACCCTTGGGTGCAGGAATAGAGCGTTCGGGGGGTTCAGGGTTTGGGGTCTAGGGGTTCTTCGCAGATGAAGTCTGAGGCCCTTTCCCATGAGGCCAGGTTGCTCTACCCTAACACAAGCAGGAAGCATCTTCCAGAAAACGCTCCCATGTGGTTCCAGCCCCTGAATAGCTTAAAGGCACGGGGTCCCTCGCAGCTCTCATCTGCCTTTGAACCTAAGGATGTTGGCTTCAACATGGCAGGCCGCGGGACAGGAGCAGTTGCCTACAAGGCGCCAGAAGTCTATGACGGCGTCTTCACCACTGCATCTGAGGTGGGTGCCAGAGAAAGTCCGCCAGGGTAGGGTACAAGCCTTGAGGTAGGGTTTAGGATTCAGTTCAGGCACTATCATCTAGATGGAAACAAGCACTGTTCGTTTTGATGCTACGCTGACAGCAGCTCAGTAAACTTCCGACTCTAAAGGTATGTTGGAAGGTCCGAGTTTGACCCGCAGGGCTACAGAATTTTCCAATCAGGTTCAGGTTTGGCGATAATTATCGGGCCTTACGAGCTCAGAAAGCTTTCAACATCCCTCAACTGGGATCCCCGGACTACCAGGTCTATGCCTTCGCCATGATTTGCTGGGAGCTTGTCACAGGCAAGAGAGCTTGGGGAGAGTGCTTTGGCTGCATGAACCCGACCCCATCACCCCCCCGAACCAAGAGTAAGGCAATGTAGAGGATGTGGGGCATGTGGGTAGTTATTGGAATATTTCATGTGGACCCCACCCCGCCTCCGAAAAAGATACCAATCCGACACACCCAACGAGCACACAAGCGGAGTCCTTCTGAATCTAAGCAGCACAAGGGCCAGTTCTCTTGAGGTACACGGACTTGCAGATCATGAAGCCTGTATGCGTGGAGCACAGACGGCCTCCTCTCGACGAGAAGGCTGTCACGACACGCCTGGGCCAAATCGTTCAGGACCCGTGGACACTGGTTGTCGGTGACGTAGAAAACCCCCACAGACCAGATTGGGATGAAGCAATGACCCAAGGTCAGTTTACACTTCAGTGAAATTCCCACAACTTAGTCTTCGGCCCTGGCAACCCTGGAAAACTGGAAGACCTTCCAGGAGTCCTGGGCATCGGACCCGGCCAAGCGGCCATCCTTCACTCAGCTGTTGGTTCAGCTCGCGCCGGAGCCGAAGTTGCCAAAGTCGCTGCCGACAGCGCTCCCGAGCCATTGGTCGGGTCAGGACTTGGACCAAGGCAGCTCTGACCGGTTCAAGGGTTCGGGGCACGGCTGCTTCTGGGGATTTTGGGTTTAGACCCAACGTCTCAACCCTGAACCCTGAACCCTGAACCCTAAGCGTTGAATGCACTTTATTGCAGGTCCGTCGGGTTGGTTCATTTCCTGTCGCGTGAATATTGCCGTAGCTCTACAAGACAGCGTAGACTCACAGACCTTAGGACTCTCGTTGTTTGCTTGAGCATGCGTGTGCGCCATGTCAGGTTTGTCCGGTCCCAAGCCTTATTAGCCCCAAACCACGGCACCCCCAGTAGCACCCGGCACCCGGCTTTGCAAAGCCTCGTTTGAGACAGGCTGGATTGCAGTCCCCGCGTCGGAGGACTGCGACGTGCAGTCGGGAAACACTCCCGTTTAGGGGTGGTAGGGTTTGGGCCTTTGGTTGATGGTGAGGTGGGTTCGATGGGTTGGGCTTCAATTGCCCTTCATGCCGTAAAAAGAGGACCTCTTCCGAGAGCTGTCGAAGCTCTTCGTGGTGTCGCAGCCGCGCGAGCTGGGCACGGGCCGGGATGCGGGCAAGTACCACAGGCCGTGCCATGGCAAGGCTCCAATGGGTTAAGCTGAAGGGCTTAAAAGGGGTTTTGAGGGCCGAAAGGGTTTTGAGGGCTTTCAGGTTCAAAGGCCACTAATATTCATCATCATTCTGCAGTGGCAGCTAAGCATGACCACAGCATATACTGCAAGTCAACGAATAGTTGGTATTTGACAGTCGCGAGGGTTTGCAAAAAGAGGCCCTCACCCTTCCACTGGGCTATGGTCGAGAATGGAACTGAAACGGGGTGCTTAGAGGTGGAGTGCTTGCCTGCTTTGTGCTGCCAGTACACCCATGGCCCGAGCCCTCGGCGTTCTTTTTTAACGTCTATCAATGTTTTGTCTTGATGGGGCCCAGCGGGGCAAATTTGTTGTTGACTTCTACCAAGGTTTTGTTTGAAGTTTCACCCATACAGACGTGTTTGCGACAGTTTTTTTGGGATCTTAAACCCGAAGCCCGAAACCCTAAACCCGAAGCTATTCTTTCTGTTTGATTTTTTTGGTGGGGGAAGCCCCCAACGCCCAATGCTAACGCCCAGGTATAGCAACCTCAAGCATCTTGGCTTCGCATGGGAAATGGTTTTGGAGTTCAAGGTTTAGGGTTTCGGGTAAGGAGGAGGCCGTCCCAGCCTCCGGCCTGGTTTGAGGTTGTGTTCTGAGGTTATGGTCTGCGTGGCGCATAGAGCACCAAAGCCTTTGGGACAAGTACGCCGCGGAGCGCAACGACGTCATCCGGCTCCTGCGGCAGCTTGAGAAGAGCAAGTTGCAGACCGCGGAATGGAAGAGTAAGCTTGAAAAAGCCAACGCCCAAATGCCAGATCCGCTTTGCGAGCACATTGGCCGCTCTCCGGCACAAAGAAGGGGTCTCGCACGACGTGTCGGTAAACCCGGTGCCACGAAAAACCTTCCAGGTGAGAAGTACTTGCTCCACGGGACGACTCCGGAAGTCCTTCTGGACATCCTCCACCAGGGCTTCAACGACAAGCTCGCCAGCTTGAAGGGGATGCAACCTGGATGTAAGAGGAAGGAACCCTAAACGCCCAATCCCGCGGACCCAGAGGGTCCCTTTGCTGTGGTTTAGGGTGCTAGCAGGGCTTAGGAATTTAGGAATGATCCAATTCAACAGCCCACTGATTCTTCAGAGGCTTCCCATCATCCCCATCGTCAATTAAGGTTCGGTGCCGGGGCCTACTTTGCAGAAGATCCCGCCGCTGATCTTAAATTGTCTTCGAACACAGGTTGGCCCATGCGGCAGTTTTTTGTTAGGCTTTCGATGGCTTTCGTAACTCTAGTAGGAGGGTTCGGCGACTTCCGAACCAGGAGAAGATCGATCAGTACACGCGTGAGGACGCTGGAAGCCCAATCAAGCCCTAATGCTTCAAAGATGTTAGGGGTCACGCCTAGAACTCAAAGCTCGTGAGGACCCTGGACACGAAGCGCCCGGCTTGGAGAAGCTGCACGCGCGGCTTTACCGAGCAGGTGGCAACCGGCACCCAGGACGGAGAGATGTGAGAGAGCTTATATAGAGTTATAGAGCTGTCAGAATACATCATGTCTGGGAGGCCGAAGGCTGCAGTTACAAAGCCTCGCAATCACCAGGAAGTGACGTGTTTTACTGCTTCGTGGTGCGGGTGACCTGCGGCGCCTGCTTTGTCAGCAACGGGCTCAAGGACAAGTTGCACGATCACGACACTGGCTTCCAGGTCTTCGCAAGGGACGACCGCCGAGCCGCGCGTCTGCATTCTTCGGCTGCGACTGCGACTCGAAGGCGCAGGTCTTGCCTCAAGAGTGCCCTAACACCCCACCCTCTGTATGCGCCCGCGTTCCGCGTAATCGACCCCCCCCCCCCCCCCAATGATATCCCCGCCCCCCCCCCCCCCCCCCATGGCCCCCCCCCCCAAACCCTGCCTGTTAACCTTAAAAACACCACGGACCACGGCGGGGTGGGGACAGAGAAGCCTCAGCCTAAACCCCAAACCCTAAAACTTAAACCCACCAAGGAACGACGGGAGGGAGAAGGGTAAGCCGGAAACCTTTGCCGCTTTAACCTTGAACCCTCAACCGTACACCCAGCACGAACCACAGGGGGGAGAGGGGAAACCGTAAACCTGTCATTACCCCAAACCCTGAACCCTAATCAAACTCTAAACCCACGGTGAACCAATGGACCAGAGTGAGAATCCTGAACCCTGCAGCCTAACCCTAAACCCCTGAACCCTAAACCCCTAAGCCCTAAACCCATGAACCACAGACCATGAACCACAGACCATGAACCACAAGGGGGGGGGAAACCCAAAACCCACCATGAACCACAGGGGGGGGGGATACTATGGGAGGGGGAGGGGGGCGGGGGGGGGTTGCGCCCTATGCTGGCCCACATAGAGTGCATGATGTCGAGCCAAGGAACTCTCCTCCATCCCTGAGTCAGACCCAAGGGTGCCGTACCATACACTGGTGGTCCAAACTGGCTCCGAAGCCAAGCTCCGAATCGTGCCTTGGATGTGGTTGAGGGTTGAGGGCTTCCCGAGAAATTCTGTGGGCTGTAGAGGGTTCATGTCCGCAGTTTCGGGCCAGAATCTTTGGGCGGATTTCGACTTTTTGATTTTGGGAGCTTTGGGGAGATTTGAGGAACCTTTTGGAGCTGTTTGGCATCTCCGTGAACCTCTTGGGCCCTCTTAGGGGGGCTCCTTGAGAAAGTTTGGTGGGCTTGATAAAGACAAAGCAAACAATTCTGGCTGCGTACAGCAGGTTTTGTGGGGTTCTGGGGGTCTGCCGGAGTGCCTAAGAACTCCTAAACCCAAGAGGGTTTTTCACCCTAAACCCTCAACCCCAAGCACCCCGAGCACCCCAAGAGGGTTTTAGGGGCTTCGCAAGGCTTTGGGGGAAGTTCTCCAAGTTCTCCGCAGGAGCGCTTTCGGGAGATTATTTCCTTCGACGCCAACCGCGCCTACCCGGAATATCTGCTGGCATACCAAAGGGTGTAGGGGGTGTAGGGAGCTTAGAGGGTTTAGGTTTGGAGGGTTTGGAGGGTTTGGAGGGTTTGGAGGGTTTGGAGGGTTTGGAGGGTTTAGGCGGGTTTAGGGTTGGGCGACTCTGCCTTATGCTCTCCGAGTGAACCTCTCGCAGAGTGGTCTTGGACCCTGGGCTTCAGTCCTCTAAGGGGACTGCGAAAGAGCCGGGGCCCTTGTTCAATTTCATGGCGCGGGAGGCTGCTCCTCGCCGAAGCGACACAAGCAGGGCTGTTTGTTGCCCCTTAAATATCCAGGATTGACAACTTAAATGTCTCCTATAGAACCCAAAAAACCCTAAACTCCTACACCCTAAGCCTCTAAACCCGAGATGCACTGCATCATGTCCAATCCTGGTTTTTAGCGGGAAGGAGTTTTCGGGAGATGTGCAAGTGGCCGTAGCCGTAGCACACACGAGCTGCTTCGATCGACACGTCAATGAGTCAGGGAGTCTCCATCGGGTTTGCCATGAGAATTCCAAACTTACTTTTTGTAGGTGATCATTATAAACCCCCCTGCAAGACTCGGTTCTTCAGGTAGGGCTTCGGCTAGGATAGGGTGTAGTGTCGCCACGTTCCACACCTTTCTTCAGTTCGAGCAATTCACACAAATGTCTGCAATGGGCCCCTAGGCCAGCAAGCAGGCCTGCAAGGCCACATGATCACCAAACACGGTTCTTAAGAGGAGTCGACGACAGCTTGTAGCCCCTCGCCGATAGTGACTGGTTTCTTATACGGCCACAGCTTAGTGATGCACAAGAATTCACCTGCATAACCTCCGTTTCGTGCCGAGGGGTCGACATGTATAACGTACTATACGTGGGAAGAGAATCACCGTTTTCTTTTCTCTCTCTCAAATATTCCGGGAGGTTTGGGGTACGTGGGCCACAGGCAGAGCAAGACTGTTTAGGGGAAGTCGATCAGATTTCAAGCTCATGTGCTCTAGAATTCGGCTTCGCTCCTCGAATGATGGAGGCTGGCGCCCCTGGGCGTCCCGAAGTGTGGGAGCCGATTGTGCAGCGTGACAAAAAAGGGTGCGAAGAGCTCATGCCCGACATCAGACTCTGCTTCATGGAGGAGGTGCACATCCTTGGCACCATGAGTCCCTAAACCCTGAGTCCCAAACCCTAAACCTGAGACCTAAATCACCCAAGGCTTCATAGAGAAGTACAACCAATGCCTTGAGAAAACTGAGGTTCCGGACTCCTGGATGCTGTCTGAAGTTGTTATGCAAGTTAAAACATCACCCCAGGGATGCCTCCCCATCTCTGAAGTTTTGAACAACTATAGACGAATTTCTCGTATCAAGAGTTTCCCATCAACATGTTGCCTCCATGTTACAAACGCTCCTTGGTGTTGAGGGCTGTTTGATGACGAAATGTTTTTGCTGTGATTTGATGAATTTGATGTGTATTTTGTAGTTTGGAGTGTCATCTTGGAGTGATGTGCTCTTCATCCAAAGAATTTGTCAAAATGGGGCCAGAGTTAGGGATTACAGGCTTATACATCTTCCGGGCTCAAGATTCCAAAAGCTTCATAATTTGGAACTGCGCCCGTGCCGCATCAGCCATGTGCACGATCGGTGATGAAGAGATGCAGCTCTTCAAGCGCCGGCGCCTCAGCGGCTTCTTTGATGCACGCCTTCTGTCTCTTTGCCGCCGGTACTGTTCTCCAGCGGAGCATGCGACGTAAGGAGCAAGTGCCTCTCGAGACCGGCGCTAAAACCCCCTCTCAGCGAACAAGTACATGTTTTGCCAGGTTGTGTAGAAACCTGGCAAGATTGGTTGGCTGCAATGTCAGGGTGGTCCCCCCAGCGCTCCGCCCGTCTCCCTTCCCCCCCTCCCCCCCCCCCCCCCCCCCCCCCCAAAGGCGCCCCCAGATGCCCCAGCATGGGGCTCTAGGATTCACCGTTCCGCTAAACCGTTTATTTCCGACTGTACTCTACCCAACCCGTACACTTCCACTACGACATGTGCGCAACGGACGGGTCTACCGTTGGCTGTGCTCTGCTGGTGATTGTCTGGAAAAGCAGGCTCGAAACCAGGATAGCGCCAACCCATGCGCGCACGCGCGCGAGTCTACTGCCCAACGTTCTGAAAACCCTGCAGTTTGAAAGCCTTTGAAGGCCTCCAAAACTGGCGCTCCTGCCTACAACAGAGCTACCTGTGTGTTTTACATAACGCATGAGCTGTTGATTTGCTTTGCGTTGAAGTTTAACGGTTGAACTGCTAACTTATTGGGACGTTTAGTACGTAGTTTGCGACATACAACTTACTTTGCTCGTTGGGGTACTCTTTGCTGCATACAAGCCATTTCATTTGACAACCTCGACCTGAAACATATTGCACTGGGTGTGGGTTTGGGAGATTTTTGCTTTTTTCGGGCTTTGTCAACCATACGGACGAAAGGCCGAAAGGCTTCACAGTCGCAGTGAGGGGCCTTTCAACGAACAAAAAGCTGAAGGACTTCAACGGATGAAAAGCCGAAAGGCTTCATCGTTGCAGTGAAGAGGCATTTCATTAAATTTGTATTCTAATAGTTTGCAGCAAACTGTTTGCTCATATGTTAATGTGCCTTTAGATAATAGAAACACGGGCCGTTCACTCTTTCACACATACAGTTCATTCGTCATGAGTTCGCAGGTTCACTCACTTCCTTACAATTTTATTGTGTTCACTTCGTTCTCTCGGTTTCTATGCTGGCTTCCAAGGGCACAGTGTAAGTACACGCGAATGGACTGATGCCAACACTACTTTTTCTGCCGTGCGCAAAGGCGAGCGCTTCATGCGCTACTCACACGCTCTGAAGGACCCCAGAAGATTTGAGGGCGAAGCGCAAGAAATGAGTACGTGCGTAGCGTAGTGGTAGCAGAAATAGGCAGGCCAAATACAGTTGGTGCTGTAGAAATAGGGTGTGCATACATTATATATATATATATATATATATCTGTATGTATGTATATGCTTCCCCCCCAAAGATCCACAGTTTTATGCCTGACTTCATGAATAAACAAGGATGCCAAGCCTACTGTGAACCCTAAACCCATCCCTAACACTCCGATCTACCATTTGCTGCGCTGACAGTACGATGAACGCTTCCCTAAACCTCTCCACGTTAAAAAAGGAGCACAGTGTCTGAATGGTTCCTGATGGCTTCTTCCCTCAACTATAATTTACGTCAATCCCGAACAATAACATTAAGAAACTTAATCTTGCTGCCATCTCCTTTTGGAGGTACCAAAAACAAGAAGAAAAACAAACTCGAATCCTGTTGTCTGGACCTCCTCTTCTTTCAACTGGTACTGCAAGAACTGCTTTCGTCCAGCTGTCAACGAGGATTAGCGCCACTGCTGGGGGTTCTTCACTTCCTGTGGTTGCTGTATAGCAGAAGTCAAAGGACAACCAAGGCTTTGCAGTGTCGGCTGACGATGTGAGCTTCATTCCACTTGAGCGGTGAGGATCTTCTCTGCTCTTCATCGCCACACAATGCTCGCACCGGGCTGAAATGGTAAGTGCGTCAACAGTGAGCTTCTCGTTCTTCTTCTGAAGGTTCTTGAGGTACTCTGACAGGAATAATCTGTGCATCATGCTCATCTCTGAAATCTGGCTACTACTACTACTACTACTACTACTACTACTACTACTGCTACTACTGCTGCTACTACTGCTGCTACTACTACTACGACGACGACGACGACGACGACGACTACTACTACTACTACTACTACTACTACTACTACTACTACTACTACTACTACTAGCCCACAGCTGCAAAAAATTGCGGAGTGGGCCAAAACCTCAACATGCTCTTGCGTTGAGGCTTCGGACTCCTTTCTGACAATCATCAAAGAAAACCAGGTCTAGTGTTTATAGGGTAGTAAAGGATTGAGGGTTTAGGAAGGATCCTGACTGCACAGTGCCAGAGCTCTTGCCTTTTAACGTCCGAGGCATAGGCTTCGCTCGAGTAGCTGCTCGCCAAGCCAGCCCTGGAACCAGCCCCGGAACCCCAGACACCCGCTTGGGCTTGGACCCAACCCCCCAGCCCCTCAGGAGCGTTTGTCCGCAACTGCAAAGACTGCAGAGCGGGTCAAAATCTCAACGTGCTCTTGCTGCGTTGAGGCTTCGGACTCCTTTCTGAAAATCATCAAAGAGAGCCAGGTCTGGTGATTATAGGGTAGTAGAGGGTTGAGGGTTGAGGAAGGATCCTGAATGCTCACTGCCAGAGCTCTTGCCTTTTAACATCCGAGGCATAGGCTTCGCTCGAGTAGCTGCTCGCCAAGCCAGGTTTGGAACCCCAGACACCCGCTTGGGCTTGGACCCAACACCCCCCAGCCCCTCAGGAGCGTTTGCCAGCAACTGCAAAGACTGCAGAGCGGGTCAAAATCTCAACGTGCTCTTGCTGCGTTGAGGCTTCGGACTCCTTTCGAAAATCATCAAAGAGAGCCAGGTCTGGTGATTATAGGGTAGTAGAGGGTTGAGGGTTGAGGAAGGATCCTGAATGCTCACTGCCAGAGCTCTTGCCTTTTAACATCCGAGGCATAGGCTTCGCTCGAGTAGCTGCTCGCCAAGCCAGTTTTGGAACCCCAGACACCCGCTTGGGCTTGGACCCAACACCCCCCAGCCCCTCAGGAGCGTTTGCCCGCAACTGCAAAGACTGCAGAGAGGGTCAAAATCTCAACGTGCTCTTGCTGCGTTGAGGCTTCGGACTCCTTTCTCTCATGCCAGAGCTCTTGCCTAACATACTTGTAGGTGAACATGTTCCAGGATGTTGCAGGCGGAACCAGCGCAAAATGGGAGGAACATGGAGATCCAGCATTTCTCGATGCAGCCTCTGCGAAACAGAGTGCGAGCAACAGCGAACCCTGATACACTTTTGTCTTCAGCTCGAATCTTCATGTTTGGTGTCTCTCTCTCTCTCTCCTCTCTCTCTCTCTCTCTCTCTGTCTCTCTCTGTCTCTCTCTCTCTCTCTCTCTCTCT